TGCCAGTAGTGACATATAGGAGTTTCCTAAACCTTCTCAGATAAACTCCCATTTCAGTGCACAACATTACTTCACTACTTCAGTCAGGGTTGTGGGAGAGGTATATACTGTAGGGATGCAGTAAGTGAGTCATTCACTCTGCCAAAGTACCAAATTCCAAACACCCAATCACACTCATTCCATGACTTCTAATTATAAAACTTACAAAGTTTATAGCACCTGAATAACAACTCTCACCTGACAGATATTGGGTACAGTCTGAATGGATATACTGAACATATCTAAAGAGAGGTGAAATTCCTTGCTCGTCTGATAAATAAGGTCATTGAATTTGTGGACCACTGAATTTGTTTGGGTTTGTGTCTATCCCTGCCTCTCCATTACTTACTAGAACCCTATTATTAATTGAATAGGGAAAGCTAAACAATGTTAGCAAGTCTCAAGCTATTGGAATCAAAGAAACTAAAGAACTTGAGGACTGTGGTTGACATTTGCTGCTGTAAATACCCACACCAGGGCTCTGTGCTCTGTTATTGTGAGCTTATAGAGTTATGTAGTACAGTATGTTGTAATGTAATGTAAATACATTTTTCTATAGCACACCAGACTTAATACTCTAATTCAATTTGAACAGGACTAAAGCATTGGAAAGATGCACTGAAAAGGCTCACAGACATCTGATGAAATGGAAATTGCAGCAATAGCTTGGTGAGATAGTGCAAGGCTTTTAGGTTGAGGCTCTCTGTAACAATCCAAGAGAGAGGATATTGGAAATTAGACATTTTGTTCCTTATATTCCAAGTTTCTTTATAATTATAACTTGTGTTGTCTTTCAAAATGAAAATCACAATTTTGAAGTTTTTTTCATAAAAGGCCTGTGCTTTACAATTTAATTTTAGCTGCTGCATATTGAGAGTTTTAAAGAAACAAGAGAATAAAGAGTTTGACAGCTTGACAGAGATTGATTTTATTCAGCTGTACCACAAACTGAAACTATTTCTGTTTAAATATTATTAAGACCATTGTTAAAACTATCAGACATCAATAAAGAAAACGTCTATGTAATTTACTTTTAAAATATCAGGTTTTTTACATTTAATACAATCACACTACACATCACAGAAGAAAGCAAACAGTGTAAAGGAAATTTGTTTTTCAGCCATGAACGCTGAATGACTTGTTTCTGATGCAGAAATTATAGAAAGACTTATTCACCGAATTCTTTTTATTCTGATTTCTGTTTCTGAAAGCAGGAAATAAATGACTTAGGATACCTCGATCTTTTTATTTGGAATCTAGACAATTTCTCAGGTGCATTATACCCCTGACCTTGAAAAGACTTTGTCGTGAAAGCTTTAAGAACACCTTATTAATTACATATCGTTGTATATGCAGCCGGAGTTGTAAGCAAGGGCTATTTTCACATGACATCGTGTGGTAGCTTTCTCCATACAATGAAGCTTAGGGATTGTGATTGGGTGTCTTTCGTCTTTCACAGAGGCTCGAGGGAGGATCGTTTTATTTGCTGTGCTTCAAGAGCGATAGTGGCATCGGATGCAGAAACACGTGTTCTGATGTGACACGCAAAACGTGTTGAAGCCAAACGTTATTCCATATGCCTCGCTTTCTCTTGCGTAGCTACTGGCAGATTAATGAGAAGTCACATTAAACCGAAATACCAGACTGAAACAAGACGAGATCACACCGGCATACCAATTAGTTTCGTTCGAATAGACTGAAAAAGTTCAGCGTTACCATCATTTGTGCTCTTGGAAACTCATGCATTAGTTTTCTACTGGCGTCCTCCGGGGTACAACACCCAGGCTCAACCGCCCAGAGACGGGAACTTAGGACCACTTCTGCCCTCTCAACCGCCATCTCGTCACAGCGAGTCAAAATAGTTTTGTTTCGCCCTAATAGCTCTGGTGGCATGTTTTCTTCGCACAAAGCCAAGTTCTTTCTTAAACCACACTCTCATATTAGAAAGTAATATGACCTCCAAAAAGCAGAAAAGGGAAAATAAAGGAGGACATACTATAGATGTGAATACAGGTTTAAGTTTGGACTAAATGAAGGAACGTATCACGGACCGTTGACTATAATGACTGTAATCAAACACAATTATATTCATAACAGATCTTGCCTTACAACCATCGCTACAAGCCCATCATGCTCATCGGTTACAACCGTCGTGGGCATCAAAGAGGAAGAACAAAGTTAATAAGGTATGCCACGGGGTGTGTCTTTACTTCCTGCGTAATAAAGGCTAGTGAAGATGGTTATCAAAGAATCGTTCCTTTTGGATGATTTACAAAGCTTTATGTTCCACAAACGAGTCTTTGAAATGTGTAATCGACTGGTGGTTTTCGGAAATCGTGGACACCGTTTTGAAATAACGCAGTCGTCCATTTAAAATACATTTATTTGGCATTTGTCGTTGCTCAACGACAACCTTAGTGTTGCATAGAGAGAGGAAACAGTCTACATACAGTATTAACTAATCAGTATTTTTACATATACTCGAAAATAACCTATTAAGTCTAGTCACGGCTATAGACACAAAGGCACAGGAGTATTTAGCATTTCAAGGAAACATATGATTTTCTTGATTATTTTATGAATTTCGTATTAAAAGGAGGCGTAACTCATTCCATTTGTTTTTCAAAGACAGAATCCAATCAAGATGACGCAAAGTCTTGCAGGAATTCGTTTTAAAAGGACTGTTCAGTATTCTGCGTACGTATCTTCCAACCTGTTAGATGTTGCGTTTTCAACTGACCCGCAGTCTGCTGAAATAAAGGGGTGGAGTTTGTGCGCCTTTCCCCCGTGGCTACAATCATGTTCCTATTAGATTTTCTACCTTGCAAACGCACTGAATGAAGAACGAAGCCTACATCATACAATTACTTGCAGTGAGAGTTGAGGATTAAAATCTCCTTTGAAAAGTGACCTGTAGGTACTGTACTGTTTACCTTAGAGGCTCCTTTAACTCATGAGAGGATTAGAGCTCAAATGAAGTTGAATATACAGTAGTGCTGTTTTGTCAACATAGCACATTAGAATTTCAAGAGAAGGCTCTTAAAATTTTTGGATCACCAGACAAACTGATCCATGGTGATTTCTTTGCGAAGCAGGCTGGTAGAAAGACAAACCAATTTTCAACGAAAGCATCAACCGTGAATGATCCATGGGTCATGCGATTCGATACATCCTGCTATAATTTTCCTATAAGTTTGTTTCAGCGATAGCAGAAGCGTGATCCTCCGAATTAGAACGTTTTTTACGTCATCTGAGAAGTAACCGCTAGATATATTCCCTAGTGCTATTACCAGCCTCATTATTATTTTTGATAAAAACAAAGCAAACTTAAATACACGGCACAATACATTATTGCTTACACTTATACAGCGCTTTTCTGGACACTCCACTAAAAGCGCTTTACAGGTAATGGGGACTCCCCTCCACCACCACCAATGTGCAGCCCCACTGGATGATGCGACGGCAGCCATAGTGCGCCAGAACGCTCACCACACATCAGCTATCGGTGGGGAGGAGAGCAGAGTAATGTAGCCAATTCATAGAGGGGGGATTATTAGGAGGCCATGATTGGTAAGGGCCACGCCAGGGTAACACCCCTACTCTTTTCGAGAAACGCCCTGGGATTTTTTAATGAGTCAGGACCTCGGTCTCATCCAAAGGACGGCGCCTGTTGACAGTATAGTGTCCCCCTCACTATACTGGGGCATTAGGACCCACAGGGACCGCAGGGTGAGCGCCCCCCTGCTGGCCCCACTAACACCACTTCCAACAGCAACCATAGTTTTTCCCAGGAGGTCTCCCATCCAGGTACTGACCAGGCTCACACCTGCTTAGCTTCAGTGGGTTGCCAGTTGTGAGTTGCAGGGTGATATGGCTGCTGGCTAAACAACAAAATGAAACAACTAGGCTTAACAATGGAGCCAGTGAATGGAAAACGCGTTATACTGTACATCATTATAAGCAACAAGTACTGTAGTACTGACGTGGACTGAGAGACACAGCGTTCTAGAAAAATCACCATGTTTTCCTCTTGTGGCTTTGAATATTAAAACCATGAATTAGCAAATCATATAATCCAATTAATTGTTATATACTGTATGCTATGGCTTGTGTGATGACCAAATTACTTCGGAAGCAGGCAAGGAGTTGCTCGCCTCGCAATTCTTAAATACAAAATTAGATAACTGCAAGACGCTACCCTTTCCAATGCGCCTGGCTGTTTGATAAGCGCAATTTAACAATGTGGCTGTGGGTAAACGATTACATAAAGCAAAAGTGTATTTTAGGTCACCCATGTAGGGTGCGTAAAAATAGTGCACTACTGCGTAAAAACAATACCTATTTTCTTACGTTGCGTAAACGCATTATATTCTATGCCGACTTGCAGTCTGGGGTCACTTAGGTTCAGTTTGCACAATACACTTAAAATACTGCTTTAGTGTCAGATGAGTGCTGCGAATGTCGAGCAAATTGTAAAGATGTGCTTTTGCACGTGCGCGCGTTATTTTAAGTTGCATTAATGTCAAATAAAGTTAAAGGATCCTGACATTTCCATAACTAGCTCGGAAGGCATTGTTAGCTTTTGTGTTTTGGGCAATCATTAATTAAACTTAAATAATATAAACTTAACCTGGACTGAAAATGTATTGATTTATTTATTGTATTTATTTGGAACAGTTACGGCAGTTTTGGTTACTTAGCATAACAGAGTTATTTACGTGTCACAGGATAAGTCTGTTGCCATAAACGAGAACAAAGAGAATTGCTAGCGGGATGATAAACGAATTATTTCATTATTTTATGTTAAAAAAGGATAAAGTTATCTCCGTTAACTTTAACGCAATGAGTCACCCACGCAGCTTTTCTTACGCACTTAAAGAGGCATCAATGGGCGGGGAGGGGCAGGCATAGCCACGCGATCGCGAGCCATGTGGAACAGATAAAAGGTGGCAGGGAGGCGCAGGGTACTTAAAGAGCATCTCTGGTAGGCAGAGCAGAACCGCACGCACTTCGGTAGTGTTTGCCTTGCAGTTGGTGTGCAGGACCATGGAGAGCTCCAGGTTATGGATGAGAGTCGTGGTATGCGCTGTGTTGCTGTCCGTCGTCTGCGGTGCTGAAACTAACGATTTGGAAGAAAGAGCCTTGACGGACTTCTATCCGAAAGACCCAAACCTGACCAACGAAAAGCAGCTTGTAAGTTTGGTTTCTTAAAAGTTTTTCTTTCACCTATAACGTATTATCAGATAGTACATATATATATGATTAAGTGTCGATCACACAACACTTACGTACATTTTGGATGAAAACAAAGCCGCACTTCAGCTCTTTGGTTTGAAAAACATACAAAAAGCGGAATTTTACAAAGTGACGATCGTGCACTCACTTTATTTTGGGCTTTCAATCGGGAATCGAAAACTATTCGATGACCTAAAAAAAAACAAATTCAAAACTCATCCATGAGAGAGGTAACGCCGAAGCTGATCAAAAATAAAACCCTCGTGTAAGCTTTTGTGACTCACAAAATATGTCATCCCAACAGCTTGGAGCTCTGCAGGAAGTACTGGAAAAGCTACAGAGTAAGAGGATTCCAACCTGGGAAAAGAAATTTGGGCAAGTTCCAACGGTAACTATAACCTGAAAACTAGAATGAAAACTTTTGAAGACTATAAGAAATGTAGAGAAGTCAAACACAGGCTTCTGTAAACCGAAGAGCCGTACAGAAGATCGATATGAGGAGTATTAGAGATTTTATTCAGCTAGAAACAATAAATGGAGTAAAAATTAGCATGTTTTGTCTTTATAGATCTGTACGATTTTGATCATTATAACTGTGTCGTTTGATGTTGTTTAGAATATTCAAACCTTTTTAGATTATTTATTTAGAGTACATGATGCATGCTATCAATACTGTACTTCAGGTATAAATAATAAACATACCGACAGGTAGATTAGACAAGAGGGGTTTCTAAATCGCGCCATTTAGTGTTTGTTCGAGCAGAGGGGAAGCGCTCTTGTGTGGTGGTCTCCGGTGGAGGTCGTGCTCGGTTCACTCCCTTCTCTCTTCCTCAGTGCGATGTTGGAGAGCAGTGCGCGGTGAGGAAAGGCGCTCGCATCGGCAAGATGTGCGACTGCCCGCGCGGGGCGTTTTGCAACTTTTTCTTGCTGAAGTGCTTGTGAAAACGACCTGAACGAAGACAAAAACAAACTCAATTAAAAATATCAAAATGTAATATATATATATTTTTAGGATACAAAAGGAAACGTTATCAAGTGGACGGTGGGTGAGGTTTTGAAAGACTGTTAGAACCTTTGGAGCTCCTAAACGTTCCTGGACATATTTTATTGTTTATTGTATGTTTATGTGACTTAAAACAACTACACGCATATTAAAAGATGTTATATCTTGTTTTGTAAAGCAGTCTGTGTGGTCACTGAATTCACTGTTCATTTCAAATGCACTACTGCTGTTTTTTTGTTGCAATTTGCAAAGAGCAAAGTGTGTTTAGAACGACTCCTTAGTCAATGGTCCCATTAGCGAAGACCTTATGTAACAAAGGGGGAGCTACTGTACAGTACGGTACAATTCACAAGTAATAACAGGGGTTCTGACTCAACGCTCTTAAAGGTAGGGAAAGAGCCACCCATTCCTGTTCATTTATTCATATCAAAATTCATATTCATATTAAATAACGGGAAAGAACTACAGAACGTTTATTTTTACTTACAGTGATAATCTCTCAGTTACTGTGCAAGTGGAGAGTATATAGTAGGAAACTGGGACAACTAAAAGCTTGCAGAGTGATTCACTGAGCTATAAGCAGGCATTTATGTGCAAATCTGTCTGAATAAACATTATAAAAGACCGCACATAATTTAGGCAAATAATCATATATTACCATAAAAGTGTTACATTTTAAATCCCCCAGACTGTGCGTCAGGGAGCTTTTTTAAACACAACAATGGCCTTTTTATGCGTCAGAACAAAGTGACAAAGCAACCATCACAAAGTTCTTTGGAAGTAATTAGCATGGCTTTAATTAAACATACAATAACAGCCAGCCTACCAATACATTGTTAACATAATAATTTTAACATTCTTGCTCACTCTGAAAATATATCTCACAACAATTGCAGGAAAGGGACGATTATACTTAACCTCTGAGTCTAGGAAATAACAGAGTAATAGAGCTAAACAGGAATATTTTAATAGTGCAGGCCAACTCAATTTTTCTTGCTGCATATCATACTGAAGTGTTAGCTGCAGCTATTAAAACATTTATGTAATAAAGCATATGAACCTAAAAAAAGATATGCCATTTTTGTACATATTGGAAAGCCTAAATAAACGCTATTGGGATGAGTTTCGTTTTTGCAATTCCCAAAAGGTACATAATAGAGATAAGGGCTTATTAAAGCCTGGTTGCAAAGGCTTTGTGGTTATTTTCTTAAAAGCAATCAAAATGCATTTACCTAACATAATAATGGAACAACGATGCAAAGAGAAGGACACTATCCTAGGTATCTACAATGAGTGAGTGGTGCAGTATTTGTAATGATGATTTGAATGTATGACAATTCAATGATGCTGAAAAAACAAATAGGTGTAGTGAGAGTGTCTGATACACTGTCATTCCCCCAGGGGTCATAAATTAATCACAATCAAATATGTTTAGTCAGAATTAAGGGTGACTTAAAAGGCACACAGTGCTTAGAGTTCCGAGAGCTGAAGTTGTAAGGAAAAAGCACCCATACAGTCAGTGCATACACTGCATTAACAAGTTACCTTTAAGTCTAAATGAACAAGATGATCTATTAAAGATATCAATTAACACAGGCGATTTAGAGCTCACTGAAATGAACACCAGCAGACACGGTGATGCCCGAGAACAGAGACTGTGAACCAGTTCCCCATATCACTCCATCCATCTCCTTGTTTGCACTGATTAGAAATGAACTGGTTTGATGGGGAAAACACATGAGGTAAGGTGGTCCATAGTTACGTTTCCATTATGGCCAAATATATCATTCAAAATGGTATGTTTAAATAAACTAAAGATTGAAAATGACGTGAACTGTTAGGGGATACAGAAGCGATAACCGATCTAACCGATTCTCTGTTTCATTGCTCTATGTGTTTCATCACTTACGTTTCTCAAATCCTCTACATTGAGGCACTTAAAACTGCATCATTTGGTTCCAACATTCTATTGCTGCCTTTTTAATGTCGCACACTACATTTTCTTACAAATATGTTGTTTGCCGACTTCTTTGTCCTCATTCTCTCATGGCAGCTCAGAGTTCTTTTCTCTGGAAGAAAGCCTGTCTGTGTAATTGGTGTTAGATCACTGCGTTCCTCTGCTGGCTGCTGTCAGACCCACTGAGGGCATCAGTACACCCGCGATGCTCATATACTGTACGTAACTGCGTTTACTGTGAAGGAAGAGACTACCTTCTCCTCCAGGAAATGGAAGGTCGCTTGTCGTTGCTCAAAAGGAAGCCTCTGCATGTCCCACACGCTGCTGGGATTAGCCTGTCACCTTTCAAGCAGCACCATGGGAAATAACCAGACAGGTAGCGTGGGGTTGAAGAAACTGAAGTAAACAAAAGAATCGATCTGGAGGCCTTCAGTGAATCGTATTCACCATAAGACCAGTGCAGCAGAGAATTAGATTACATGGGAATGGACACGTTTAAATTGAGCAGATGGGCTAATTCTTTTGATCCATCCCCAAGCCTTAATTGGATTTTGTTTGTCTTAATAATACATATTTATCTCTCCCCTTTCAATGTATTTATAAGAACTTGGCTTATTGATCCTAATCCTTTTAGGCCAGGAGATTAATTATGCATACAACACAAAACATAAATAGGCCTGGTTTTACAGACCATTAGTTATTCTCCAAGACTTGTTTACCTGAAATGACACGAGGTAGTCCAAGATTAGTGCCGTCAGGCTGCAAAACCACTGGATAATAATTGCTAGAAAAGAATGACCATTCATTTTAATCATTTACCATGTAACGTCCAACATAGATAATGATGTAAATGGCTTTTACTCTTGTAAATGTATCTTAAAATTCTGTTTTAATCAAGTGACAAAATGTCTTTAACCCAGATACCTCATTTGTAAAATAACTGGAATTTTGCAGGTGGGGCTCAGTTTACTATCTTCTCTCCTATGTCATCCCTTCTTGTTTTTCAGCACGAATACCAACAATGGTCTTTTCACAGAAAATGGAAAAGGATTCAAGTATTCAATCTCATTTGAGATCGAAAAAAGCTCAGCGTTCTGGGTTGCAGACATCTTCAGCAAGGTGCCGTGATCAGTAGAGACGCTGAGGCTCTTGATCGTGATTTGGCCGCGCATAAATGAAACAGCACAATTACATCCTGCGTCGGCTGTGGATTCCTCCTTGCAACATATGCTGTAAATGTAAAATCAGAAGGAGAGCGCTGATTAAGATCTTTTATCACATTTGTGCCTATCTGTCTTCTGCCATCATGGTTTTTTGTTCACTTGTTCTAATTTACATGTTAGTCTACGTCTTTGTCTCTTGTGTCCCTTTCCCATCTCACTCTCTTCTCTGCCTCCTTCAAAACATAACTCTTGAACTTTCATCAATTGAGTATTTCATCAACTGTCTTTCTGGGGCGATTTCACTGCATCTCCCTGAGATCCCCACCAAAACCATTCTATATCATTTCCCTAGCTATCTGACCCAGCTATTTCCTCCTGCCATTCACTGACAGCTCCCCGTCTTTCCACGAGCAATAAGGCCGAAGGCTGCAAGTATCTGGTGCGACAAACAGCCAAAGAATCAAAAAGAACTGCTCTTTCTAGCAGGTCAGCTAAAGGGGAATACTATTTCCATCACTGGGCTCCAGGCCAGCTGCTGAAGAAAGCACTGGTGTCTCTTCGACTGTCTGTCTGCTTTCAGTCTGTATTAGCTCAACTTGCTTTTATTAATAATTAATATATCCCTAGAGGCCTCCGCTTGTGTTGGCAGTAATAGCCGGGTGACCGCATGTAAATATTCTCTAAATTAAGGAAATGATTAAAAACAAACAGTATATTAGAAGCTATCACACTGGGCTTCTTTACTCAAGACATGCCATGTACGCATTGTGTAATGTGTACTGTGAATGACCAAAACGTGCCAAGGGACTGGAATGAAGCATCTATTTCTGTTTAAGGCGCAGTCCTTTATCAAACCAAATCTTAGGCAGTGCTTGGCAAAGGTGTGTAGCAGAGATGATGTGCTACAGCTGTGATATTTAAGAATAAGAAAAGTAAACGTAACAAACGACTTCCAAGTCTATTTGATTGCTGTTCTAAAATTATTCCCATTGAATGAAGTGTATAGCGTCTGAATCTGTATTGCAGTGCTCGTACTGTAGGTCTAGAAGTGCAATAGTGCACCAGTTAAAAGCCCCTGGAACAGGAAAGAGTTCCTGCTTTAGCACACACATACTGTAGGGCAAAATTTACATACCATTAGTGCCATTTCTCCAAAAACAGCAGAGCATCAATTTATGTAACAGGAAAGATATTATTATAACCAAAGAGCCTTTAAATTAACAGTTTAAGTTTTTCGTAACACTAATGGATATTTTTGTATCCGCTGAAAAGCAATGTCAAGGGGAAATGGCTTTGCAAAATTACATCTGCATCCATTTACATACAGGCCTTCATGTTTTTCACATTTCAGTGTGTGCCACTATGGCTTGGATTATACAATCAGAAAAGGGAAAAGCAGAAAATATGTGCCCGTTCTATGTTTCGCTTTCAGGTCAAGGGTAAATGACTCTGTAAAAATGGGGCGACTTGGTGTTTAAAGGAAGATTTGCCACTTTTGAGAGAAATTGCCACGAGCAAAGGAGCTGACATTTCTGCGACTGAAGTAATAATCCTGGATGATGATGATGATGTTTGACAAATAAAGGTCACTTAGGCCTAATTAAATGCATATGCAAGCAGACCGTTTCCAGTCCCTGAAACACAATCTCTCACGAAGCATGATAAACTGATTTTCAGCATTATGTCAAATTTGACTTGCTAAAAACCAATAACCCCCCCCTCCTCCCAGCATGAGAGAAACAACCAGCAGCAAAATTAAAAATAAATAACTTAGACAAATTAGATGTCTCTTTCAATGCACAATGTTTTGCCCCTTTTAAATTTAATGTTGGATTTTTAATGTCTCGTGTTTGCCTATTACTTGGCTCTACTTTACAGAAGAAGAACAACAATCTGATGCCCAGAGTAAGTAGAAGGGGATGTTCTGAGCTACACTCCCAGCCCCATGCACAAACCAAGCATGCCCCCCTCTGTCACAGTTCCAGGATGGGTCATGCTAACTGGATCAGACAGCTGGTGACTCCCTTTGCTGATTGACAGATTGAGGAGCATGCAGCGTTCCCAGGGCTCTTCTCGGAAGCAGCGAGTGGAGCAGGAAGGAAGAAGGAACGGGGTATGGGAGGAACCCTTGGATTGTTTTTTTCTTACCTTCATATAAACTTTCCAAATCATTTGAAAGTCTTTGAACTACAAGCATGAGCTGTTTTACTGCATCTTGTTAAGCAATAGATCTTACCCTGAACTCTTACTGTGATTTACTTTTATGTCCATGTTTCTCCGGGATCTGCAAATGTGAAGGTCCTGGTATTATATGTATGGTTATAAAATCACAATATTCCACTAATTTGATTTAGGTAGCCTATCAAAATGCTTACATTCCCTACCAAACCATGTTTTTGTAGACAATTATCTATTTCAGCTCATTATAAGTATTTGGTTGACACTCTTTCGTTCATTTGTCCATTTACACAGCTTGACATTTTACAAAAGCAATCCAAAGTCTCTCACTCACGGATACTACAGTAATGTTCCCACATAGGACTTGAATGTACAACCTTCAAACTACAAATCCAGAACCTAACCACAACTCCTGAGCAGACTAGTTGAAAAAAACATTTTTAATGTCTATTGACCAACACCACCACCACACAGACTTTAAACATGTGAACCTGAAATATTTCGGTATACTGTGGTTGTATTTGATTGCAAATATTTCCCGTGCGCTGCAGTTGAAACTCAGTTTACACCAGTTTCTGAGGTTTTTCTGCCCTCCAGAGGCTGAAGGCAGAATTACAAGCGTTACCATGAAGGAATTTGAAATCAGTTCAAGGACTGAGTAAACCTGACTCCAGATTTGGGGTATGCACAACTGCTAGAGATTATTACATAGTTCAAGCAGGATAGAAAAAGTCAAACTGCACTTAACAGGATATTTTAGCTGAATAAGAATGCTGCTTCATAATGAGAAAAAGTACCTGTGTTTCGATGTTGCTTTACCTTGACTCCAGATTTGAAGCAGAACATTAGATTTACCTGCTAAAGGTACATTATTTAAAGTCCAAGTTGTTCATATAAATTCTAACTGCATTTAATGTGATATTCTATCTGATTACAAATAACGTAGTGCAGGTTTTAGACTGATTATGATCCTCAAGAACAACATACGACTATAATGCTTGGGCCTTTAAGGGAGGTGTGGGATAATTCTATAAAGATTACTTCTTTATATTGCCATTAATGGCTTGACAAACCTTGCAAAAAACACATACATTTTTCTGTTAAGAAGTATATTTGAACAGAAATGAACATGATCACTTACGAATTTACAGTAAAAAAAGTAATCTGGCCATTTAAATATATATCTGAAAGCTTTAGAGGAGTAATTTTACTGTCTTAGAAGAAGTAAGCAACCTCTTTAACATCTGGGACAATTGTTAATACAACATCTGGGATTGATCCTGTTAGTAACTCAACAGCTACAAAGACTGTCATCCTACACAATCCTACATTTGTAAGTCTTCACCCCATACATTGCTTAATGTCATTTGTAGTTGTCTTTGTCTGCACTACTTATTTCTTAATGAATGGTTCACATTCCTGTGGGTATATTGTGCAATTAGAGACTCATTTTCAATAACACTGCAGTGCATGTACTGTACTGTATGTAGATATTATGTACCACTAATTATTGCCCCAAATATCTGTTAATAGCTAAGTGTTTAGTCAACTGTATAAACAAATATTTTTTAGCAATGTAAGATAAATTAGAGAATCAAGCATTATGATCCAGCTTGCAATTAAAAATTAACTATTTAGGGCATGTTTAGACAACAGAACACAGAAGTCTCTCACTATTTGAAAATTTACAAAGGCAGTTTTCATCAGAGGCTGGCAGCTTCTTCTATTGCACACTGCCACATTCTTGTCAATAGACAAACTTCTAAGCTAAGCCCTTAGAAACCCATAACATGTTTCAGAGTAGACCCAAAAATATCATAAAGAACTTTCCATTAGTAGTCAATGTACATATGATAAAAGATAAAATTATTTGGAGAATAAAACCCTTAAAAAACAATTGCAAAACATCTGTACTTGGGGGAACAAAATCCAGCAAACAAAATCCCAAATCAGTCCAAGACAAATAGTGAGACAACTGACCATGTTTCCTTTAAGCAATAGTATGCCATGTATGCCATGAAAGGAAACAGCTTAGATTTCCTCATCACCAAACACTCCCTGCAGTGTGCCTACATACCTCTGTCTGAACTGGCTAGATGTTTTGACTTTGTTTTTTTGTAAAAACCTAATTCAGCCCACATATTTCCAGCTGGAGATTTGTAATTACAGTATTAAACTCTTAAACTGTTTTTATTAAAATAACATCAAAAACTGACTTAAATTTGGAACAGATCATTTTATACAGTGATCAGAACTACAGCTAGATTCTACACATTTGGTGAACATCTCTGAAAGCTCTGTTTGGACACTTTAAAAATCATGTCTTCTTAACAGCTGAATATAATTATAAAATGTTTCCTGGTACTGATCATTTTTGAAGCAGTGAAGACTTTACCATATTAATCAGAAATTTAACATAAATTGTATTTTTTTTCTCCTGTGCATGAAAATCAAACCTTCTTTTACATAGCTCAGTCTCAATTACTTACTTTTCATACTTACTTTCACTCAATAATATCTTCATATATATTTCTTGCTTCATTCTGAAGTGCTTTAAGCTTCACTTCATGCAAATCATTTTTGTCTAAAATATCTTTTAATAAATCAAATGTATATGATTTTCCTTATTTAACAGAAATTGTGTTTTGAACAGAAGTATAAACTATATTAAGAACTTTCCAACAAGCTGTTCAACACTGATCCCCGATAACAGAAGAAGTCACTTGAACCTGTGGAACATGGGACAGTTTTCATAGTTTCATCACCTAACAAACCTGATGGTTCAAACAGAACCGCATGAACCTGTATGAAGGCTATCCAGCCTTGATGCAGATCCAATGTTTAAAATATTTACATCAACCAAACTTAATATTTTTTGTGCCCAATTTAATTTTAAGCATTGCCTTGCCTCAGCACCAAATTTGTATTATAACTCTGTAATGCCATCTTTTGGTTGTGCTCTCACTCTTATCTAAAGCCAATGGTATTTTTTGTGCCTGCAGGGCTTTCTACAATAAAAGGCAACATCTACTGCGTCCCAGAAGGATGTAGAAGCACCATAGGAAAAGCCTAAAAAAAAAAGAAAATTATGACAATTTTAATTTAAAGTGTTCTTGAGTCGATTGCTTGTCTTATTAAAGGGCTGCAGCTTGCTGTTCTGGCTGGAAGGGATAGCTGAGTGCTGGTGGGAAACCAGAACTCCTCAGCTGATCGTCTTGTAGGACCAAGTCTTCCACATCCCCACCCTGGTACTTCCGCCGGCAGATCTTCACCGTGACCTTGCGGCCCTGGAAGATCTTCAGGGCCTCCTTGGCTGCCATGGCTCTGGCACTGTCCTCCCCACGTCCGTAGCCCGTGCCTAAGTACACAGTCTGGCAGCGCAGCTCACACACCTGCCCCTCCTTCTGGATGCGGCTACTTGGCAGGTCTGGGATGTCTTTCAAGGGCACAAACGCACAGGTCAGGCTGGCCTTAGAAGACTCCACACAGGCCCGCAGGATCTCAAAGTGGTTCAGGTTGGGCCCAAATCCCCCGGCTGACACCAATTTCCACGCCACTGCCTTGTAGAGACGGTTGAAGAAGGGCTGGTGGGCACTGGGGGCGTGTGGAGGAGGTCCTAGCTTGGGGGGCCGCATCGCTGCTTGTGAGTTGGCCCTGTTTCCTGGATGGGTCTGCACGTTACTCCCCAGACATCCTGGACCCCGGACTCCACTTCTGTTTTCTTCCCTGCCACTACCAGCCTTCAGCTTCTTCTGAGAAACATCACACTCCCCTTCTGCCAAACAGAAAATCCCCCAAAATTCCAGTAAGGTTTATTATTCTTTCTTGTGCCTCTCATTTTATTGCTAATGAAACATTTAACTATGTTGAGCTGGGGGGGGGGGGGGGGATTCCTACCATCTTAAATGGCAACAACGCATGTACGAAAAGAATCTTTAGCAAAGTACTACTTCCCATATCTCACCCGCAGTGACAGGTTATTTCAAAATGATAGCTGGTACCTTCTGATCTTTTTTTCTGAGGCAAACTTAGAAAGTTTAAAGCTTTTTGATATATTCTTTCCCTTTGAGCTTTCATCAACTACTGTTACACCAGAGGATAGAAGGGGCAGATTTCATCTCCTGACTATGAAAGGCTGTAACTGTGAGTGAGATAATGACAGGGAAAAAGAGAAACTTGCTATACTGATGGATGTAGGATTTTCTACAGCATCAATTAACAGAAAAAGGCAAAAATATTTCAGGCACGTTTGAAAAGTTACTTTGTAGTCTAAATATAAGTTATTAATTTCATATAAAAAGAAAACATGATTTGTGAATTATGACCCTCACAAAATAAAATACAACAAGCACATCTGCCATGGGCAGCAACATTGCAGAGAGTATCCAATGTCAGTCCCCTGGTTTCTTTTCCAAGGTATCATGCTAAATATTTTATTTTTAGTAAAAACACAATTCTATTTACAGACCTTCTATTAAAATCTTGTGCACACCCAATGTCCTATGTGCATCACAGACAAAAATGCTGACAAACATGTAAACTGGTCCCTTGTGGAGATGCAAAATGCAAATGCTTAAGATTTTGAACCTTTCTAACATTTAGACTTAAGTCTGCAAGGTAAGTGATCCTACTACATAAACAATTCAGAGATGAACTCTACTCTGCCAAAAGACTGGGACTTCTGCCACAGAATAGCACACTGTCTAGATTTGAAGTAAGATTATATTGTTCCAGTAACATGATCAGTGCACTGTGTCCTGTTACATAGATCTAAAGGCAAAAACTGTGTATTTTCAGCTATATGACCATTTACACCGGAGTGGCAGATCCTTGAGAAAGGACTTATTCTAAAGGAGTCAAAATAGCTGAGAGGGTAATCTGTAGAAGAACATGGTAAAGTACACCATCTCCAATAGGGATAAAATGCTTTTTACAAAGCTCAATCTTCCATGGAACAAAACTAATGTTATATGTACATAGCCAATTCCTTTGAAATGCACTCCTAAATTACATCGTCCTGATCTGCATATTCATAGTGATTGTCAGTGAAGCTATTACCTAAAATGCTCACTTTTCCTGGCTGTCACATGAAGAATTACACAAAATAGCACTCAGTTATTTTTTGTGTTACACCTGTGTCAAACTGCATTCTGTTTCCAATGTGGAAAGTACTCTCCAAAGGTACTGGATCTAATTATTACACACCATAGTGCAACCACTTTTGAGCCAAGTCCAATGTGAAGTGAACAGGGCTGTAATACATCACAGTTTTACACACTGCCCATACTTCACCTGTGGAGCCTGTTCTCTTTCCTTTGCCCATTAGCTCATCTCTTGTCTTGCGAACTGGAGCCTCATGCACGACCACCCCTTCTGCCATCTCTGTTATCTTGTCCATGACAGGTTGGGGATACCTGCAAGCAGACAAGAAGCCCTTTCTCTCCAGCCTAGGTCTGAAGAATGCACAGAGTACACCACTGGAAAGCAACAGTTTCAATTTTGCAGTAGACTGCAAGCTCTCTGCTTTAAGAATCTATCTTGCCTTCTTAAATAGTCTTTGAGAGCTTCTAAGAGATCACTACTATTCATTCTTTGCAGCTTTCAGACCATGTTAATTCAGCAAGATTACAAAAAAGTGTGGAGCTGGATGGGTTTATGTCACACGTTTGGATTAAACCCCCACCCAGTGCTTCTTTGTGACTCACCGACAGCCCAGAAAGACGTGGTTCGCCCAGACCATGGAGAGAGACAGCAGCTGGTCCAAGCTGCGGCTGGGAACTCCTGGAGTGATGCCGGTGAAAACCTCCATGTTCCGGAGGATGAACTCTCGCCTGGCACGCCACTGTTTGTCCGTCTCGCAGTGCCCCCGCAGGCTCTCCACCCACTGCTTCAAGTGAGCGTTCTGACGGAGAAACTCCGACACGATGTCGTCTCCACTCCTCCCCTCCGCCATCTCTGCAACCCCAGACAACTCACTTTTAAAAACCGTGCATCACTCCAATGACCTTTCCGTGCGAGAAACCACCACCTCTCGGCCACTCTGCGTGGTTTAAGACGAGTGTTAAATTAAATCTGAGCCGTCAAAAACCGGTTAAGCGCATTTTAAGACGTGTGTGGCGTATCCCAATTACAAACTGTGCTGAAATATGTTTTTACATTCGAACGTTGTATCGAGCCTACAGAACCAAATGAAAATATATTATCATCAATGTGAATTCATCTGAGAACAGTATAGTAAGTGCCCAGCTTCTGTTCGTTCTGTTTTGGTCGTTTATTAAATAGTTGCAATCTCGGTACAATGAGATCTATGTTCTGTTAAGACGTATTAAAACAGAGCTCGTCTGAATCTAATAATCATTTTGTTGTCATCATACGTTAAACTATCGAATACATATAAACCACCTTTAATGGCTACTTTTTCGAAGAGAATGTTGGAAAAACTCATAATGTACTTAAGATTTTGTTTATATGTTTTAGTTAAGTGGTTTAACACAGACTATCTCAATAAAGATAAATACATTCCTAGCAGACCTCGTTTACCGGAATGTAGGAATTTAATGGTTAAAACAAGAAGAAAACTAAGTTCCCTACACCGATTACGTAGGCTTTAAGTTAAAACTGACAAAATACACTGATTTTAAAAACCTTAAACTGTTATGAACAAAGGTAAACAAACACAGGAGAGAATTTTAGAAAATGCAGGGCCTACTTAATTCTAGTAGCAAGGCTCAAGTTCCTCACACCCCTTACCAACAAAGGCTTGCTCTGAGCTCTACGTTAGATCTGGAAGAGAGAAAGTGTGTTCAGATGTCGACAAAAAAAAACCACAGGCAATTAAAAGAAAAATAACCTAACATCGTATTTACTACGAGAACATCCAGCAACTTACCCGTTTCCCTCTGCCAGTAGTACTACATGTCCCAAGACGCAACTACAACAAATAAGAACTACAACTCCCACAACCACACAAGTCACGCTTCATCTAGGCCTACCAGTTTTAACTGGGCCGCGCAAAAAACTATACTTCCCATACTGCACTGGCGTGTTGTCGGCAAACGTCATCGAATTGCGGCGGTATGTTTGGCGGCTGCGTTAAAGAAAATACAGTACTGTGTTGAAGTCTTGGCACAATATTCCGCCTTATATCTTAAATTTCTTTTTGGGAATAAAACTTGCAATGATCCATGAACTGCTGCTTGCTCTAAGTGGGTACCCTGGTACCATATTTACGTGGAATAAACGAACCGGTTTACAGGTGGGATTGAGAAAAATGATTTTTCTATTGCTTTTACTAATGGCGAAGATAGATATAATGAATATATTTCCAGGTGTTATTTTAATTTATGTTTTAAAGCGCTAAGACTGAAACATGTAAAAAGTATCTGTAGGCTGTGAGTCTTTCTATTAGGCAATACAGAATGTAATTTGTAGTGATCCAGTGTATTTTTACAGAGACATACCTACCATTAAAATGTGGTTTGCATTCATTGCTTTAACACTAGATCAAATTTTAGAAAACTTTATCATTGCCCTCTTGTTATAGAATGTTTTTATCGTCATTATTAACTGTATTTGTTTGCAATTGTAATTCATTACGTACACTCTGTCTCTGTTCGGTTTAAAAGAGCATTGTCCCATTCAACAACAGGCAAAAATAAATGTGTCCCAGTGGTCCAATGATCTATGACTGTGCTGCAGAGAGTCGGTGCTCAAGAGGAGATGTAAAACTGAGGTCCGGATTTCTTAGTCACTAAAGGTCTTATGGCATTGCTCAAAAGAGTAGGGGATTACCCCCTGTATTTCTCCCTGAAATTCACCCTTAATCAATCTATTATAATCATGGCGGTGCTGGTAATATCAATTAGATTAGCCACTTGCACTCTACAGTGGGTAGAAAATAACGAACTGATTCACACAAGACCATGGCTTTCCAGTGTTACCTGTATACCAAGAAACCATTAGGTCCGGCAGAAGTTATCAATTAAAAAAGCAGCTCTGGTTTACCACGGACAAGGCATTAGAACTGCTGTGCTGAGAAAAATTTACCACTCTGGAGTCTGTTTTTGATTTTGCCGTTACTTTATAGCACACATTTACTTGCACCCATCTTACCCATATCATCTATTATTGTGTATGTATTACTCTGAGACCTTTTTGTTGTTCCCTCAGGTGTCCCAGGACCTGCCCTTCCTCCATCCCAGTGAGAGCAGTGTCCTGAACAGAGTGTGCAAACTGGGCTCTGACTACATCCGCTTCACTGAGTTCATTGAGCAGCACACGGGCCACGTGCACCAGCAGGTGAGGCACTGCCTCCACAGAGACAGGGGCCAGAGATGCGCGCCGGGGGCTGAGGACTTTGGTCTGAGAATGTCTAGTGAGATTTCACTCCTAAAGAACACGTAGCAAACAAAACAGCAAACAAAAAAGGAAAAACTATTTTCTGGGTTGCAATATTAAAATAAATATGAAAAATATTAGCTATTAAAAGGAGCTGTATCCTATGCTGCTTGAAGTCAAAGGTGCAGATAAGATTTGGGTTTGTTTTTAGAGTTCAGGCATTTTTTTATGTGAATTCAGATATTGTACTTCAACACAAAATGTTTTCTGTGGAAGGCTGAATATTTTAAATTAACCTATGTTATGTAATAAATTATGAAAACTAATTCAGACCAGCTACTTGCTGTAATTCCAGTGACTTTAGAGAGGCTGATTTATCCTTTATTAAACATTGTAATTTAGCCTGAAAGCAACCTACAGGTTACCTGTTTCCCCTGCTTTTGTAGTGTTCAATGTCCCAGGATGCAATTGTAACAAGGAAGAACTACAATTCCCACAACTGTGTATAAAACACTTTGCTGCACCTGTATCTTTGCTGCTCAAAAACCTATATGCATTATATCAAAGCAATGTAATTATCCTTTCTTTCACTTCAAGTAAAATTGATAATGCTTAACCCCATTATTTTATACATCAGGTTGGGACCGCAGGTAAAATACATTTTCATAGACCTTCCTCCTTTTGCCGGGATAAGTAATGCTCAAAATAATTATTAGCGGGATAAGAATAGTGTTTTAACAACTCTTTGTCAGGTTGCGTTGTGTATCTAATTAGCCTTTTCCTCCCACTTTTTAGGCATTTTTCGTTATTAGGAAATTTCCGTTGCTCGTCTAGTGAACGATAATATGACAATATTAAATGTTTTTGTGGAATCTTAGTCTGGTCTGAAAGCAAGCTCACGACAGTGTGAGGGGAACATTGTAGATCTTGCATGTTTACTGGAACCCTGACTGTTCACTGCGCACACAGGAGCACCATGCTTCCCAGCCAAACCAGTCTGGACTCCATGGAATCTACCTGCGAGCATTTTGCACCGGGCTGGACTCCATGTTACAGCCCTACCGCCAGGCCTTGCTGGACCTAGAGCAAGAGGTAGGAGGGGCGGCTGAGCTGATCCTTTCTCTGCTTTGATAGTTACCAGTTCACACTATACTGCATGCAGAATTCTTCTTTCTGCCTCTGTGCAGTCACGTCCAAAGCTTCCCTTCCTGACTACTTATAATACCTTGATTCCCTCCTACCTGGCACTTTCTGTGCTAAGTCTAAAAAATGATATTCTCCCGATTCATGAGACAAAAAAAGCATTACATTGATAAATACAGAATTTATATTAATTATACCGGTGTACTTCTGATTTTTCATTCATGTTAAAATGGTTTTGTTTTTTTTCAGTTCCTGGGGGATCCCCATCTCACTATCTCCCATGTCAACTACAGGCTGGACCAGGTAATTCAGAGCACTCAGACTTGAAGAGCGCAAGGGTGTTATTATTTATTCAGTAACTACAATAGTTTTTATTACACAAAGTAGTACTTTATAATGTATCGTCAGTGTTCTGATTCCACATAAAATTAATGGTACCAATTTTTTCTTCACTTTTTCAAATTCACCAGGTATAGTCGATGTAGTGTGACAGAAGCACCAGAAATCATTCTGAATGTAAAAATTTAAGCACAATCACTTATACTGTGGGTGTGATCAGGGCTGAGCTCAGACATGTGGAAACAGCTGTTTTCATTCATTGTTTCTGTGTTTCTGCTCTCTAGTTTCAGCTGCTTTTCCCATCTGTTATGGTAGTGGTGGAGTCCATTAAGTCCCAGAAGGTACGTTTTGCACTGCACCTGGCTGTGCATGAGCTCTGACTCGAAAGCAATTGACAGGTCTGCAGGAAGAGAAATGGAATAAATATTAATGCTCTGTCATAGGCTGTGCAGTTTGTCTCCACAGGATGAAGTATATAAGGATTAATACATTTCCTGTAGGTGAAGAGGTCATGCTGAATGTTGCATTTCTAAGTAAAAATATTGATAAATTGTGTTGTTTTAGTGCTAGTTCTAAGACTTGCATCGTTAATCAGTACTGGCGAACTCATTGGTGCATATTGATGGTGTATCAGATGAATAGATATGCCGGTTAAACAATTCTGATGTTATTTTGCATTAGAATGGTATGTGTTAATATTATATAACCTTAAAGGGAGTACAGTCATCTTCTGTTCATCCATAAAACACCTTGGATCAGCAATGCAAAAAAGAAATTGACCAGTGGTGCTGATTCTGTGCACTCTTGTACATTTTTTCTGAGTCTGAAAGGCCATATGGGCTAAACAGTATATGGTACAGAAAACAGTTTGGCTATGTCCTCTCCGCGGAGCAGATCCATGGCTGTCAGATCCTGGAGACGGTATACAAGCACAGCTGTGGAGGGCTCCCCCCTGTCCGCACGGCCTTGGAGAAGTGAGTGGTGTCCCCCTCTTGGCTCAAGACTGATATCTCTGTTTTAAATGTTTTTGTGCTGTGGCTCTTCAAGCCTTTTCTCTGAAGATCACAGTTCAGCTGTACAAGGAGTATTTTTCCTAACACTGGTTGCTAGGAAAAGTTTAGGTCATATCGATGACCTTTAAACCAGCCATACTGTATGTCCTGGTTTGGTGGCTCCCTTTGAAGCATTCACTGTTCTGCAGTGCTTTATCTAGCTGTGTTACAGTTTGACCTGTTGGCTGTGTACTTGCTTTCCACCTTGCGTGCTGGTGTTCAGAAGAAGGGCGTTCTCAGTCTGGGTCTGTCACGCAGGATCCTGGCAGTCTGCCACGGGGTCATGTACAAACAGCTGGCAGCCTGGATGCTGCATGGGTTGCTGCTGGACCAGAGCGAGGAGTTCTTTGTGAAGCAGGGCCCCAGCGCAGGGGGGGCGACGCCTGCCCAGGAGGAGGAGGAGGAAGACCTGGGGATTGGGGGGCTGAGCGGGAAGCAGCTGCGAGAGCTTCAGGACTTGGTGAGTGGAGCAAACAGGTGTTGGCCTTAAGGCGGACAGGACGCAGAGTCAGGGATATATAGAAGAATCCCCTTGATTTGCAAATTGGGTATGAGGAAAGAGGAAAAGAAAGGAAGTTATCATTCTGTGACTATAGAAGGATTCAAGCAGTGAGGGAAGTGAGAGACAAAGGGTGAATGCTTCAGAATACTTGGACTCCTTGAGTGAGATTGCTTTAAAGGGGAATTTCGCAGACTGGTTGTTAAAGCTCAGTAGCAAAATAAATTCATTGACAGTGTAGAAAAAAATTACAAATTTCAAATTAAGCGAACAGTCTTGAACTTTGTGAATGTACTGTAACTTGCCATTTTGTCATAAACCCCAACCTGGCCATGGGCGAGAGTTTGTGAGAATTGTGCCGTGATGCGGCCCTTCCTGCTCACTGGTTACTGTACGAATGTAATGTGATGTATGAGCAGATAAGTACAGGTTGTGCAGCAGACATTTCACTGCAGAAATGTTCCAACGTGATCTGCAAGTAGAGTTAACAAGTAAGTAGTAACAAGTAAGCAAAACGATCTCAAAGTTGAGAGCATAATTTCTGTTGGATTAAAAGAGATGTATTCACAAGCCTGCTTCTTTACAAACTTCCTCACTGGAAGTTTTGTTGCCCCGGTCTGAATCGCAGAATATGGCACTGTGCATACCTGGAAATTGAATCTATTTTGTGATGTAAATTTGAGGTTTTATACGTTTCTTTTTACATTTTTCTTTTACTGTGGTTTAAAATGCACTCGGTGGTTTTGGGAATGATGGACCTCTTGTGGGCACACCCCACACCACAGCACTACTGCCTTCCTTTCTGGTCTCTGCAGCGGCTGATTGAGGAGGAGAACATGCTGGCTCCATCCCTCCAGCAGTTCTCCCTGCGTGTTGAGATGCTGCCCTCCTACATCCCTGTCCGCGTGGCAGAGAAGATCCTCTTTGTGGGCGAGTCTGTCCAGATGTTTGAGAACCAAAATCAACACCCATCCCGATCCGGTGAGAGAGCCCTGCCAGAGCCATTTTGAACATATGGTTACTCCTCGTTGTCTAGCCTGTATTAACACTTGAAGCCTTGCCCTTGAAAGATTGTAGTCTCTTTGGCAATCCCTGCAGATTACTAATACTTTTCACATAATGCAGAGGCTAGCCTTGGAACCATTGTTTCTCTGTCTTTCCCAACAGGCTCTATCCTGAAGCACCAGGAGGATCTTTTTGCCGCAGAGCTCCATCATCTCAAACAGCAGCCGCTTTTCAGCCTGGTGGACTTTGAAAACCTCATTGACAGCATCCGCAGTACGGTGGCTGAGGTATTTATTTGCAGATGCACTTCATTGTTATTGCTGAAAATTGCAAAGTTTAACTTTGAATATCACATTGCATTACTGTAATCAACACATTTGCTTCAAAGGATAAATTCTTCTTATTGGAATTGTAAATTACCTCCCAAAGTGTGAGATGGTTCATAACCTGTCTTGGTGTTCTGTCTGCAGCACCTCTGGACACTGATGGTGGAGGAGTCTGACCTTCTAGGGCAGCTCAAGGTGAGATGACAGCAGCACAGCTTTGCATACAAGCAATTGTGGTGTATTTAGATTTCACTATGTCGTGTGCTGCCCATCTGGTTAACCCTGGAGTGATATCCTGTACGTTTTCCTTGTAGATCATTAAAGATTTCTACCTGCTGGGACGTGGAGAGCTGTTCCAGGTGTTCATCGATCATGCACAGCACATGTTGAAGACTCCGCCCACAGCTGTCACAGAGCATGGTAAAAGATTGGGACTTTAGGATCCGATTTAATGAAATATGGTTCTGTATATTCTGTTCACTTTTGCTCTTTCTCTGTTTCTTTGTTCCTTTTTAGATGTAAATGTGGCATTCCAGCAGGCTGCTCACAAGGTTCTTTTGGATGATGATAACCTGTTACCTCTTCTGCATTTCACAATTGACTACCAGGGCAAAGACTCAAAAGGTACAGAATTGAGGAACCTGAGGTGTTATTAAACAGTTGATAACTGCTGAACTGTGTTACAATAATCATGTTTGAACCTAAAGGGGCTACAAAGCGTCGTCAGTAATAGAGGTCTCTCTGCTTCAGAGTCTGCTGGGAGTCGGGAGGGAGCCACCCCCCCTCAGGATTCCTCTCCCCGTGAGGTCCCACCCACTGGCTGGGCAGCTCTGGGGTTGACCTACAAAGTGCAGTGGCCTCTGCACATCCTTTTCACACCTGCTGTACTGGAGAAGTGAGTGTTTGTGTCAAGGGAGATTACCGTCTTTATATCCATCTTCCTCCGTTTGCCCTTGCTTGCTTCTGAGAATTCCCTCAGACAACATCCCTGCTACACCCTTTCTCCTTGTCAGAGACGTATATCTCCAGACAGTATGTCTTCAGATATGACCCTTTTCTTTTTCTGTCAGATTTCAGAGCTTTTACCCGTTGTCCTTTTTGTGACATGCTTTCCATCCCTCCAAGCCAAGCAGGTGTCCTGATATCCCTTCCAGGTACAACGTGGTGTTCCGCTACCTGCTCAGCGTTCGCAGAGTGCAGTCCGAGCTGCAGCATTGCTGGGCTCTGCAAATGCAGCGCAAGCATCTGAAATCTAATCGGACGGACGCTGTCAAGTGGAGACTGCGCAACCACATGGCTTTTCTGGTCGACAATTTACAGTACTACCTCCAGGTATATCTCCACCCACATACTTGTAATGGCATGTTATTATTAGAGCCCCTGGAGTAAAGCATTTCTTCTCCTGGACAGTGTTTCTAAAGTCTCACAAACTAACCTGCGTTACAGTGATGCAATTTCTTTTGCAATACAGGTGGATGTGCTGGAGTCGCAGTTCTCCCAGCTCCTGCAGCAGATTAATGCCACCCGAGACTTTGAGAGCATTCGGCTGGCCCACGATCATTTTCTCAGCAACCTGCTGGCACAGTCCTTCATTCTCCTTAAGCCAGTAAGTAGCACCCAGCAAGACACAGTCTCATGGGTTGTTTTATGGCCTTTTGATTTTTACATCTCCAAGGTTTATCTCATTCCCAATCTTACGTGCAGGTGTTTCACTGCTTGAATGAGATCCTGGAGCTTTGTCATAATTTCTGCACCCTTGTCAGTCAGAACCCGGGTCCACTAGATGACAGAGGCACCGCTCAGCTGGACATCCAAGTCAAGGTTGGACATTTCGTTCTGCACAGCTGTGGAGTGTAGCTGTTGAATCACTTTCTGAATAAATGGATTAAACAGTGTGCAAGCTACAGATTAAATAAATATGCAAATAATTTAAGTTCATTGAATGTCCATATAGTGTTGTCATTACAAAAATCATGTAATACGAGAACCAAAATGAGTCAGTTTTATTCACTTATTCCTTTCATTATCCACTGACCTCTGTGCTTCGCCTTTCTCCCTCAGGGCTTCAGCCGACAGTCGTTCCTGCTCTTTAAGATCCTGTCCAGTGTTCGCAATCACCAGATCAACTCGGACCTGGCTCAGCTGCTCCTGCGGCTTGACTATAACAAGTATTACACCCAGTCCGGGGGCACACTAGGAAGGTAGGACTGCCAAAATAGGAGAAAACGAATCTGGAGCTGGTCCAGATTGTGAAGTCATAAATGATCATTGGGCCTAGACTTAAAGAGTACTACATTAAGGATTACATTGCGGAAATGGCGAGTTTTGTGTTCCAGCTATGTTCAGCTCCATTGGAAAGCCTGATCGATTGCGATGGTTGTATTGCATTTGACGTTTCCATGAAATGTAAAATAAATGTTATATTTTTTCATTTCTTTTTAGTTTTGGATTATGAGATGATCCCGAGTCCAAGGCTTTCTCTTGGCAGCACTGAATTTTATAAAGCATGGAGAAGGAGATCACAGTTTGGTGAACGTCATGAGATACCAGAGTCTTCTTCCCAGCAAGTTAAAAGGCACAGCAAAAACACCATGACTTGAGTATTACACTTGATTTATTCTGGATCTCTCGTATCGTCCTGTTGCATTGTGTGTGACAGACTTAGGAACGGAGAGCAGTGCTTGCTTGGAAAGACTTGCCCCTGGAAGACCTCCCACATTGTTTGGGCCAAAATCTGAAGACAGATTCACAGTTCTTGTGCGAGCCAAAAAGGATTAAGGAAGCAATCGGGAAACCTTTAAGTAGCACTTTCTATAATGTATGTAATTGTAAATAAGCCTGTTATTGTAAAGATGTTCAATTTAAAAAATGTCTCATTGGTTAAGTGGTAGTAATGGGTTTATAGCTGAAATAAATAACCCTTTTAAGGCTTTTGAAACCTTTTTTTCTGATTTCTCGAGAAAATAAGATGTAAAAAATAAAACCATAATAGAATGAAACAGTTTATTCATAAAAATTGAGGGATAAAACTATATACAGGAAAGACATGCACCAGAACAGTTACAAACACGGGACATTTTGAAAGCCTGTGAGAGGGGTTCTAAAGGCAGGGGGAGGGGTTAGGGAGGGGGAGTGTAGTCGTGTCTGTACTGGGGCTGGCTGTCGTAGGCGAGCTGCTCCCCCACAATCAGGCTCTGGATCAGCCACTCAGGCGACACCACGGGCAGCTCCAGGGCCGCTGCGCACTTCAGCACGGACTCTGGGCACGAGCGGTCCGTCACCAGCAGGTTGAACATTCCCACCGAGATCGCTGCTGCCGGAACAGGGAAGAGGGCCGTCATCAATGAGCTGCTCGCAACTTAGATGTAGCCGAGGTGACGGTTTATTGTGTGGCATTTACATATTAAATTAGGAGCACCTGATGACTATACACGAATCGCAAAAGGTAGAGGGCAGTAAATAGAAAAAGAAGAAACCTGGATTACTGCACTGTACTTCCCACACCTTTGTGTCAGAGCAAGTGGATTTCTGTTAAGGCATGGCTTCAAGATTACTTAAAAGAAAACAAGTTTAATGAGTTAATAAATCAGACATTCCACATCATTCACAGTCTCTAATTGAAAATGTTATACATTTAAAGTATAAAGGCATCATTTTCCATGAAATAATGCAAGTGGATACTAACCCAATGACTTACAAAATAGTGATGAAACACAAAAACTCAAGTTTTTAAAAGGGTTCAGAAGAATTAAACGCAAGTTCCTTTGTTCAAAGTTGAAATTTAGTCCTTGAATGGTTACCGTGACAGCTGCTAGAGACCTAATTAATCAGAAAGATGGTTTTAGGTCAGGCTGCTTGTTACTGTGCAATATGCAAACATGCAAAGTCAAGGTAGGACATTTTGTTCAGGGTTTGTCAGGTTTCTTGTGACATGAACACAGCACAGGGTCTTGGCCTCAGGACACAATATGATGAGGAAGGGCACTCACGCGGGCTATCGGGGTCCACTTTATACTGGCGCACGGAGGAGGCTCCGCCCATCATGAGGAGTTCGGCCCAGAGTTCCACAGGGTGCTCCGAGACCAGCAGGACCTGCAGGGACTGGAAAGGGCTGCGGCGAGGGTGCCTGCAAGTACAAAGCATGGGTCCTGAGCAGGACTGGGAACCAGCACTTGCAGTACTTAGACGTGCTCTTCCCATCAAGCACTGTGACAAAGCAAGCTCTAGCATAAACCTTCTAAACATGGGAGAGGTTAGTGGAGAAGAGCTAATCGAGAGGAGGCCACCCAGGATAGGATAGCTCATTTGGTTGCTGGTGGTAGCTAACTGGTCTGAGTTTATCTCATCCAGCCATTTCCTGGGAGAAGCCAGCTTCAACACCAGAGCTGGGCAGTATTTTCCACATTCCCCACAACCCTTTGTGTAAAAAACGTTGTTTAAATATTACTATGTGCAGCTAAACCCCACTCCTTCATAGCAGCAGAAATTGTTGGAGAAAAAAACAATCCCATCTTCTGAACTGTTTAAATTTGAGACCGTGAGGCATATTAATTTATGTCAAAAAGAAATAAAGCAAGGCTCGTGTGAAACTGCTCATATCTTGAGGGGTTTTGGTGCACTTCTTCAGCCTAAGTAACCCAAGCCTCATGTGCTCCTTGTCTTACCACTCCACGATGCGGTTGTCTGGTAGCCCCACTCCTGCAGGCAACAGGTAATCCTTATAGTTCAGTAGCTTGTTATCGCGGCAGCAGTACTGCACCCACAGGTGAGAGACACAGGGGACCCCACTTGCCACACACAGCAGGTATTTCTGGGTACGGCAGTACTGGTCTGCAATCAGGAGGCTCTGATAGGCTGCATTGCACTGTGGAGGCAGAGTTAAGCTGTCAGCATCCCAGAGATTTATCATCAGAGACGTGATTGAAACATTTCAGTCTAATCAAAATCTCTCTGCACTCCTACATTTTTAACATCATTAATACCTCTTTTGCTCAGTTCTTTCACTGCACTGCCAGTTTGTAAAACATTCATGTCAGTTTTTCCTTTCTCGAGCGTGCTCAAGCCTCTTCCTTCTGTCCTTAAATTACAAATAAAAAGAATAATTTGATGTTTTTTTTTTACATGGATGGAGTATCCTACACTTAGGTGAAGGTGGAAATCCTGGTAGTGGAAAGTTCAAATTAAAATGGAGAAAAAACATTTCAAAAGTTTGAAACTGTCCAAACTGTTTAAAAGAGCATACCCAGGGACACAGTGATCTGGGAAACCAGGTACAGAGCTTCAGCTGGAGTAGGACTAGGAGAGAGGAGAAGCTCGAACAGAGTGCAGTA